CCATCCTTTATCTCCCCTTCCAGAGCCTGGGAAATCAGGCACGGCAGCTCCAGGTTTTGGTGCCTTTTTATCCTGCACACAGTGCAGGGGTTAAAAAATAAATGAAGCCTCTCCTGGGCTGGCTGGGGCTGGCCCTGGCCCTGCTGCCTGCCCTGGCACGTGCCTCAGTGCTTCCAGAACAGCTGAAAAATGCAGGCAGGCAATAAAAAAAATAATAAAATAAAAAATAAAATAAATGGGCTCTTTGCAAGAACGAAACAATTTGTCGGGAAATGAGCTTGAGCAAAGTTGTGCCTGGATTTCGTGAGCTGGAAAAGAAGAAAACAACAGCCCTGAGAGCGATTTGTGTCCAGGCAAGGAGAGGGATGCAGGGAGAGGTGATGCTGTGGTGCTGCCGGGTGACAGCGTGGGACAGGGCAGCTGGCGGTGCTGGAGGGTGACAGGGACATAAAACAGCCCCCAGAAGAGAATCGCTGGAGCTGAGCTCCAGCCTGGAGAGCCGAGAGGAGTCTCTTGATTGTCTCCATCAAGCGCCAGGTCCCCTTGGGGAGCGGCTGGCACAGGAGCGAGCTGGCACCGAGGGGTCCCGAGGGGAATGACTGAGCAGCCTGGGGGCAGCATCTGCTCGGGATCCCATCTGATCTCTCCACAGCCGCTCTCCCCTCCTCAGCTGCAGCTCCCTCAGCCTTTTTTGGAACCTTTTTTGGTTCCTATTTAAGCAACATTTACCCGCGCCTTGCCGGCATTCCTCGTTTCAATCCATATTGAATCGATATTTAATTCTCCATTTATTTGGATGGTTCCCAAGCTCAGTAAGGATGGATCCAAGCTCTGCCACAACTCCCGAAGCCCCGAAAGCTTTGAGGACTGAGAAATGCGGCTCGGGATGGAGAGAGAGCTCCCGTGGTGTCCCTGTCGCGGGGCTCGGCCAGCCTGGCTGGGGACATGCTGCCATCTCTGGTGGGGACAGCGACACGGCAGCTCCGGCCCCGGGGACACCGGCAGCGAGGATTTCCCCTCCCGGAGGCCGCCCTGGCTGCAGCCCAAAGCTGGGCTGGGCTCGCCCGGAGGCAGCAGCGGCCGCCTGGAGACTCCGAGTCTGTTCCCACAGCGGGCAGGACACCAGGAAGGGCAGAATCCCGATTAAAAGTGCTGCCCAAGCCAGAGCAGCGTGTCAAGGTCGCTGGGAAAGGTGTGGCCCCAGCCAGGGATGCTGCAGGGACGGAGGGGAGGCATTCTTGGCTCCATGATTTATTTCCTGAGATGATAAAATCATCTTGAAGCTCAGGGGGAGCCTAATTTTGCACTTCAATAAAGAACTTGGTTTGTGTCAGTTTAATCGCTGATTTCTGAGGATCATGATTGCCCTGGGATTTAAACACACAAATGGTGGGGCAGGGACCTTTCCTGGACCAGGGACCTTTCCAGGGATCTCTCCTGGATCAGGGATCTCTCCTGGGCCAGGGATCTCTCCTGGGGCAGGGACCTTTCCAGGGATCTCTCCTAGATCAGGGATCTCTCCTGGATCAGGGAATCACTCCTGGATCAGGGATCTCTCCTGGATCAGGGACTTTTCCAGGGATCTCTCCTGGATCAGGGATCTCTCCTGGATCAGGGACCTTTCCAGGGATCACTCCTGGATCAGGGATCTCTCCTGGACCAGGGACGTTTCCAGGGATCTCTCCTGGATCAGGGATCTCTCCTGGATCAGAGATCTCTCCTGGGCCAGGGACCTTTCCAAGGATCTCTCCTGGGGCAGGGACCTTTCCAGGGATCTCTCCTGGGCCAGGGATCTCTCCTGGATCAGGGATCACTCCTGGATCAGGGATCTCTCCTGGATCAGGGATCACTCCTGGATCAGGGATCACTCCTGGGCCAGGGACCTTTCCTGGATCAGGGACCTTTCCAGGGATCTCTCCTGGAGTGAATCCTCACAGGCACCAGGGGCAGATGATGCCCTGCACACCCAGAGCACCCTCAGCTCATGCTAACGCTGCATCCACCATCCTGGAAATCTTATCCCAGCTCAGTGATCATCCCATGATTCTACACCTCTGGTCCTCCCAGCCCGACGGTGCCTGCTCCATCCAGCAGGGCACAGATCTGTTTGGGGGAGGAGATCCCGGTTTGGGGGAACAAAAACACCACCAGGATTTTCCAGGGCCGTTATCTCATCCGGCTGCGGTGGAACGGATCCCGGGAAAGCCACG